AGGCAGTTTAGCATCAGTAATAGCACAAATATAGGATCATATTTACCACACAGATAAATATAAATGCATGTATGTAAGACTGTACAACGCTGCTATCGCTGGTTTATAAATGAATTACATTACAATACAATAAAGTGCATCGTCCTGTGAGATTTCATAACACTTTGAAGCAACTTTTGTTAAGGTTAAACTCATCATTCTATCAATGTGCAGAAGCCAGTACTTTTCCTTTGTTTTGTCTATCTGAAGGCCAAGCTACATGGCACTGTGGCAGCTGCTGATTGGAGGTCTCCATGCCTCCGCTCTGTATAATACACTTGCATTCTATTGTATCTGTGCTCGTGTGTTTTGTTCGTGCTGTCTCTACCATCGACAATAAAACATGTCTTCTGTTTGAATTAAAGACGCGATCCCAGACTTGGCTCATCTTCTTCAGTCCTTTAACAGTGGGAGAGTTCTGCTTGTGTGGATGATCCTGGGTCCAGATACGACGAGGCAGCGGATTCATTGTGACAGAAATAATGGTGAATCAAAGTCTTTGGTTGAAGAGGAAACAGATCCGCTCCCTGCATCAGCTTCAGAAGTGGATCCATGTTCTGCCAAAAGCCATAGTCTTCAAATCACCGCAGCCTCGAGATCTGAACGATGCAGAGTCTAAGCAGAGCACGCTCAGGACGTCTAGCTCCGGCAGAGGCTGCATGGGGCTCCTTCAAATCAAAGACATTTAAGGTCAGGAGAAAAACTGTGTGTTAGCTCCAGGAGTTCAACTGTGGAAGAGGTGAGATCAATATCAAATGTTAGAGAACTTTTACGTATTGTTTACAGTTTGAATAGTGGCCTAGCACTCAAAAACAAGATGAAAGGGAAAACTTACTATTGTTAGTCTGTGTGTCATCTCAGGACACACATGTGGCCATACCTGCATACAAAAGTCAGATCCCGTCAGACCTGAAGCTGAAGCTGTGCAGGGCATGGTTAGCACTGTGATGGGAGACCTCTGGGAACACCAGGGGCCACAGTAGAGCAGCTGCTGTTGTGTCCTTAGGCAAGACACTTGTGTGAATGGTTGGTGGTCGGAGGCAGCAGTGGCTACAGTAGTAGTTTATCACCACTGTGTATGGAGTGAATTAATAATGACATGGGAAGTGTTTTTGAGTGTCCTGAAAAGAGCTGTATAAAACTGATGCATTACTGTTATTATATCTGGAAGTATTCTGGCACAATGCACCACCATGGTCCAAAGGCAAGATCAACGTTGAAGACTAGAGCAGCAGACAGGAACCCAACAACAATAGACGAAAGAATCTGGCACCGACAGGCTGTAGAGCTGGGTCCTCCAGGTGCTCCATGTGCTCCCTGCCCCACAGACTGGACCCTACCCTCACACAGAGGGACAATAGGGGAGGAGAAGGGAGACATTTAGACCATTTTAGATCACAATGACCAGTCATGGATTATCACGAAGGCAAATATAAAGCCAAACATGCAAAGGCTGCGTTTCACAGTATGTAACAGTCACCGTGGTAACAGTGGACTTAGAAGTGACTGTGATTTTCATAAAACAAAAATCCATGTTTCCCAACACAAAAAAGTACAGCGCCCTGGGGACACTCACATTAAGTAAGTCCTTAAATGTGTTCTTAGCCGCGGTGGTTGTTGTGACCATTGGGATTCAGAGTTAAGTGAAAAATACAAGAGCTGAAGCGACTGTAACACCTCTGTAGTCTGTCGGCGCGTTATGAAATGTTAAAAAGATTATGAAAAAAAACCACAGAGCTGTTTTGTGTCTGAGCATCGGTCCCACTGCTCTCTCTGCTCGCGTACAGCAGGCATCACTATTTCACAAACAACACCCAGGAATGTGGTATAAAGTCATGTTTATCGACGAACCTGAACCCAGAGATTGTGAGGGCAGTGGATGGAAGAAGAAGAACACAGCGGTGGCTCTGGCCTCGCTCTGACTCCATGGACCAACGCTGCTTTGCTCCAAAAACTACAATTTATATGAAATACATTATGAAATATGTTCGGTCCAAGCCGTTTCCAATAAGAATCGAGTTATAGAAAGATAGATACTTTATTGATCCGGGGCAGGAGAAATGCAGAGGTCCAGCAGCAGAAACACATCCATCCAAACAAACTCATGAGTAAGTTATAAACAATGAAGCAATTGGAGCATTGTCAATTAATCTGCTGCGAATCGTTCAACGTGAGTAACCCCAGAGAAAAAGAGACATTTGAGATTGTACTGTATGTATTTGGTAGTCTCTCTCTCTTTGGTTTCTCTCTCTGATATCTCTCTGGTCTCTCTCTGATATCTTTCAGGTCTCTCTCTGGTCTCGCTCTGTGATATTTATCTGGTTTCTCTCTATGGTCTCTGTCTGGTCTCTCTGTGATACTGGTCACTCTCTCTCTGTGATACCTCTGGTCTCTTCTCTTTGGTTTCTCTCTCTGGTCTCTCTCTCTGATATCTCTCTGGTCTCTTTCTCTGGTCTCTCCTCTTTGGTTTCTCTCTCTGGTCTCTCTCTCAGATATCTCTCTGGTCTCTCTCTCTCTTTCTTTGGTTTCTCTCCCTGATATATTTCTGGTCTCTCTCTGATCTCGCTCTCTGATATTTCTCTGGTTTCTCTCTATGGTCTCTGTCTGGTCTCTCTGTGATACTGGTCACTCTCTCTGGTCTCTCTCTCTTTGGTCTTTGGTTTCTCGCTCTGATATCTCTCTGGTCTCTCTCTCTCCCTCTTTGTTTTTTCTCTCTGATATCTCTCTGGTCTCTCTCTCTCTCTCTTTGTTTTTTTCTCTCTGATATCTCTCTGGTCTCTCTCTCTCTCTCTCTCTGTCTCTCTCTCTGATATCTCTCTGGTCTCTCTCTCTCTGATGTCTCTCTGGTCTCTCTCTGATATCTCTACATAAATTATAAATGTTTCTAACTAAGTAACAAACCACAGTAACCTGGAACAGTCCCATCGCCGGAGGAACAAGGGATCTCTCAAAACGTTCTGTTAAAGAATTGTGCAATATAAGGGTAGATCCAGGTTTGTTCAAGTCTAAAGTAAATTTTGACTGAAAAAAAGCACCAAATACAAGTGAATGAATGATTTTTTGGAAAATAACTCAAAATTATAGAAGTTTTTAATGAGATTTTATACAAGTTATTATTATTTATTCTTTTAAACTTGTCTTATTTTGTTCTAATGTCATTTTAGGTAAAGGAACCATACGCAGGTAAATCTTGTATAAGTTCCCCCAGATAATTAAGTGTGTGTGCGTGTGTATCCAAGAGGGCATTAGCACAATAGTTGTACAATGTTTTTTGATGTCCAAATGATTACATTAATTCACTCAAAATGTACTGTTCCGCTGATTGATTATTTTGTATTTAAAATTTGAATATTACCATGGCAACCAACACTCTAAAAAAAAAATAACATCAAGAAAACATAAAAAAATCATATAAATTGCTGAATTTTTATAAAAGTAGTGGAAGACTAAAACTGTTTCTGAATTCTGCGAGTCCTGGTGTTAAAACATGAAATACCAAAAAACATAAAACTGTATTTCTTTATAATTATAATAATTATACATTTCTTTATTTCACTGTAAAACCTCTTCCTGCTTTGAGAGTAAATGAGATGCCTGTAATTCTAGTCTCAGGTCAACAACATATTACTGTCAGTCTTCATCTTCATATTCCTGAATAAACCACATGGTCGTACATTTCTGCCAGACAATTCAACTTATAACTCAACCTGCATACACTATATTCACACTCAGTATATTTAACAAGGGAAGTTTTATGGCCCTTCACCACAAACAGATTGTGGCCATTTGTACAATATATTCAAATCGCAGTGGCCTCGCTTGACGTCCTCGGCTTCTCCATCTTCTCCATTGCCGCAAAAGCACGACGGCAATTGTAATCTCATTATCATAGTAATTTGACGAAGTAGTGTTAATGACTTATTTTTTTTTGCATTACCAACGATCCATGGTCTTTCGTCTGTGCACACGCCATGACAGATGCACGTTCACAGTCATGGGACATTTAGATATGAACGCAGGATTGGAGCATCGTCAATTAATTTGTCTGCTGCGCATTGTTCAACTTGAGCAACCCCAGAATAAAAGAGACGTTTGAGATTGCATGTATTTAGCAGTCTCTCTCTGGTGTCTTTTTCTGGTCTCTTTGATTTCTCTCTAGTCTCTTTCTCTATATGTTCTTCTTATGGCATGTTCACACCACACTCAACTTTGGCTTCGTGGGCGTCAGGGGTGCATTCATAATGATTGGTGAAGCACGTCAGGTGGCCAAAAGTGACGCTTTGGGAGCTTTGACGTTAAGCGCCAAATGATACACGTAATGCTCTGATGCAGGTGCTCAAACTGGGCAAGTGACATGCGGAAGTACCGCTGAAAGCGAAACTCATCCGTACGCAGCTCCTGGTGTAAATAATGATAATAAACCTTTTGAACTTTATATATTTGTTTCTACATTCATTTGTTATTTCTCACTACGTAAACCACATACCCATGGTGCATTCTGGTGATTATTAGAGTTTGTATGGTTATAAGTTTGGTTAAATTTGGTTTGATAGTTTGTTTGACATCTGTCATTGTGTGATAATTGATTTCAAATACATGCCATGTCACTGTTCTACATGGCAATAAAATGTCCATGGAGACAGAACAGTGCACTAGTTAGACCCAGAAGCCTCTGTGTACAGCCTGACTGCTCTTATAAATGTATTCGCCCTCTATAGTGGGGCTGTGAATGTGGATGACACAGCAGGTTTCTCTGTTAAAAGGGCACTGCACCAGAGGATTGTGGGACGCGGCCTCTGCGCTCATCTGGCCCCGCGCTCCCCGCTGCCCCGTGATTGAATGCCACTTGACACATTTTCAATAGAACCGTCACCTTTTCCTGTAGCCCTGAATATACATCAGAGGAGTGAGGCGCCGGCTCCAGATCTTTGATACTTTCTCTGCGTCTAAGTGAGCGAGTAATGGAGAGAAGACAGAAGGGTTTGGTCCAACGTGTCCGTAATCACTGGATATATTTTCACTTTATTTCATCTCGCAAGGGGAAATTCACTTGCAAAACGGCTAAGAAACATTTACATAAAATAAAGGCAAGGCAAGTTTATTTGTAAAGCACAGATCAAAGTGCTCAACAAAACAATCTCCGTACATTAACCCTTTTGTTTTCTTTTTCCAACCCATTTTTTTATTTTTATTATAGGCCTTTACAAAATGTTTGAGATGCAGTTTGATAGTAAAAGTGCCTGTAACCAAGTGAGATGCCCCAAAGAGGAACTGTATATTTCAGTTCCAAGCTTCAAGTTGATAGTTAAAAAAAAAAGTAAAGATAAAACCCTTCAGTTGTGTGCACAGCTAAACAGAACTGTTTTCAACCCCTGTGCTACCAAAAAGTCAGAATGACCCGCCACGGTGATTAAAAGTAGACAAGAAATTCCCAAAATTAGGGTCCAATAGTGTCCAATTGACCCAGGGTGATCAAGTTAGGAAAAATCATAAACATTCAGCCAAAAAAATATATTTAGGTGATTTTTTAATCACTGTTGCAGGCCAAATTGATCTGAGGAAAGCACAAGTGTTAAAATGGATTGGAACATTGTCAAAGAAAGAAGCCTGTCCCGCAAATTCAGGAAGACTGTTCCAGATTTTAGCTGTATAAATCTGTATTGCTGCCTCCCCATGTTTAGTCCTGACTCTGAGCACCAGCAGGAGGCCAGTCCCTGTGCTCCTCAGAGTCCCAGTTGGTTTATATGGCTCCAACATGTCACAGATGTACTTTGGTGCGAGGCCATGGAGAGATTTGGAACACGTATCACAGGGGTAAACAGCAGGTTCTTCGGACCCGGATTTAAAAAGGACCACTGGATTCAAAGCGAATTAAAAGCAATTTATTATAAAATACATTAAAAACAAGTAAATGAAAGCAATAAAAACCTAAGCTAAAACAGGCTAAAACAGAGGCTAAAACGCAGGCTAAAACACGTTCCCACGGCCTGGGCCGCCAGACCACGGGGCTCTCCCCTCCCGTGTCTCGTTCTCTGTGTGTCTGTCTGTCTTTCCGTCTGTCTCCCCATCTCAGTCTTTTATTCTCTAGGCGCAGGTGTCTTGATTGCTCACGTGGGGAGCCGGGGTGCTTCAGGTGGTGCCAGTTAAAATCAATATTAAAAACACACTGTTATAGAAATCTTACTGGGATTATAAATCAATTTAACTTAAGAATGAATCTAATGATGAGATAGGATATCTGGGACAAAGTTCAAAGCTAGTCAATCTGTTCAAACTAACTAAACTGTTGTTCTGTAGGGACGCGAGGCCAATGACGGGGTGGAGGCAGATACTAGCTTGATATCTGGGCAAGAAGAGCGGGCTCACCGGTCATACTGACCATTCTTCCTAATATCAGAGTAATATCAGAGTCTATCAGAGTAAGACGTCAGAAGAGAGGGGGGTTTGGGCTACGGCTACCACTTAATCTCGGACTCAGAGACGCCATAGATAGACTCTTCTGTTTGTTCCATCCTATAAATATGAGAGAGAGTGAGCACTATTCAGCAGATCTACCCGGGACCTGCCACGCGGTTACACGGTTGTATTTCCTGTATATGTCACATTTACTGAGATCATAAACCACACTTTGATTTGAATTACAGCTCTTGTTGTTTATTTTATATTTAATATTGTGTATTTCACTCCTTAGAAATTCCACAGCAACACAAACACAACATGCATAAAATATGAATAAAACCATATTAAAACCCACCACCCATTTTGCACCCCCTGACACTCCCCCCTGCTTTAATCTTAGCAGTCCCTGCTAACAGAGAACACCTGCGCCTTTCAATCTCTGGGGAGGAGTTCGCCTCCACCGTGAGTCTCCCGGGGCCTCCGCCGCGTCTCTCCCGGGGCCTCAGACTCCTGCCGCTGCTGCCGGGCCCACCTGCACTAAACACACCAGAGGCCAGCCCAAACCCACGCATCCGCGACCCTAGGGCCGTAGGCCTTCCACAAGCACCACTACACCACATGCCCAGACCTCCATGTCTGCCCCTGCTTGTATCATGCGTCGTGGTGCTCTCTCTCCAGGTCGCGGATGTGGTGCTCCTCTGTGTGCTGGATCTGGGGTGGCCCACCCGGCTGCCAGCGCGCAGTTCAGCTCGGATCCCTTGACGGCCTCAGCAACAGCACACCCATCCTTCCTCCACGGAGCCCTAGCCTCTAATCACAACTTAAAAACAGTGGTACCGGGTCCTGCCAGACAACGCCAAAATGTCACAGGGGTAAAAAGCAGGTTCTTCGGACCCGGATTTAAAAAGGACCACTGGATTCAAAGCGAATTAAAAGCAATTTATTATAAAATACATTAAAAACAAGTAAATGAAAGCAATAAAAACCTAAGCTAAAACAGGCTAAAACAGAGGCTAAAACGCAGGCTAAAACACGTTCCCACGGCCTGGGCCGCCAGACCACGGGGCTCTCCCCTCCCGTGTCTCGTTCTCTGTGTGTCTGTCTGTCTTTCCGTCTGTCTCCCCATCTCAGTCTTTTATTCTCTAGGCGCAGGTGTCTTGATTGCTCACGTGGGGAGCCGGGGTGCTTCAGGTGGTGCCAGTTAAAATCAATATTAAAAACACACAAACACAACATGCATAAAATATGAATAAAACCATATTAAAACCCTCCACCCATTTTGCACCCCCTGACACTCGCATAGCTGCTTTAAAGTTTATTCTCAGAGTTCCAAGAAGCAGAGACCTGAGAACTGGACTAATGCAATGTATTTCCTGGTTCTAGTCAGGACTCGAGCTGCAGCAGTTTGAATCTACTGCAGCTGTTTCACTTCTCATCATAATTAAATTAAATTAAATTCTAAACATAAAATCCAGGATCAAACCCTCTTGAACAGTTTTCATCCACTGACAGCAGCAGGGAATAAAAAGTCTAGAGCTTGTGATCTTGAGCTTGGGGCAGGTGTCCTCAAATACATCCACCATGTAGAGGTGGAGCTTTGGAAGGATAAATCCTGATCTCCCGGAGCAGGTTGGATGAAAAGTGGTGGAGCTCCTTCACAGCCAGGGTGCTTCTTCACTCTGCTGGGGCCCGGCGCGTTCCTGCGGTGTACCTGGGGATGAGCTGCTTCCTTTTCCCCGGTGGATGTATTGTATGCAGAATCTGTTTGGTTAATGACACTTTCTCATTTCTGGTTCAGTGTGTGAAACCTTCAGAGCTGTATTAGTCAATTGCCGCGACCTGGCAAAGGATGAAGCGGAAGAAAATGGATGGATGGATGGATCCTTCCTCTGCATGGTGTATTCAGTTGCAGTCTGCTTGGTTTGGATCATTTTACTGAGTTTACTAGAGAAAACTTTAAAGATGGAAGAAAAAAAGAGTCTCAGAGCATGTTATGAGATGCTGCAGTTTCCAGCCTATTCAAATCTGAGCTAAACGGCCACTACATGAATGAGTGTATTTTAGTTTTTCATTTGATGTTCAGTAAAATGATAAATATCATTACATCCACCAACTGTTACTGCGATCAATAAAGAATACCCACAGTACACTATTAACTCTGATTATGTTTACAGGCTTAAATACTGGCGACATTGCATTGCATTTATGGCAACCTTTTACACTGTTGCTTTTGGGGCATTTTGCATTTAAAGTTATCAAATATGTTCCTTTAAAACCAATGGAAGGATCTAATAAAATATTGTTGTAATCAGTATAATTCTATAATTATAAGTGTCTCCAACCTTTTTCACCCAGCGAGCTATGCCTTTAAACAGCCCTGGGAAAAATGTGTTGAAATAATGTAATATATAATAAGGAGACTTATATTGTTATTATTTATCATTGCGTGTTTATTACTAGTGCACAAAGTTAGTGCATTTACAATAGAAAATAATGATAATGAAAAACAATAAATAAAGTATATTTTTTGATTTGTTCATTTCTAAATCCTTTGGCGAGCTACCTGGAAGGGGGTGGTGAGCTCCAGGTTGGGGACCCCTGCTGTAGAATGTATTCACTTCCAAAGCAGTGGTTGGAAGTGGTGTTATGCCTTCTAGATGTATTTTTACTGAAGCACAGACATCGGCAAATACTGGAATAATCTTCCAGTTGAACTTCGGGCAGCAACATCTGTTCATTTATATAGATCACTATTGCACGACTATTTAAATAAACCATGTATATGCTAATTTCTGACCATATAAAATGCTCTATAACATTGTAAATTGTGAATGAGTGAGCCCCCTTTATACAGCACGCGGAGAGCTTAAATATTAAGATTAAACTCCTGGTAATAATGTGTGTATGTATACATAATTAGTATAATAATGTGTTTGTGTGTGTATATGCACATGTATATATATATATATATATATATGAAGATATTCGGAGTGAAATGCGTGGCTCTGGGATTAAGATACGTGGCTGTGTGTGTGTGTGTGTGTGTGTGTGTGTGTGTGTGTGTGTGTGTGTGTGTGTGTGTGTGTGTGTGTGTGTGTGTGTGTGTGTGTGTGTGTGTGTGTGTATGAAATACAATATACTAATGTATGTATGTGTATATGATTGTATATGTATATACTATATGTGTGTGTAGGTAGGTATATGTGTGTATATATATATATAATTGTTAATAATTTATGTTTGAGTTACGCTTGTTACATTTCTTTGTTTTGTATTACTGATGTAAGCCATCTTATTTGTTAATTTTCTTTGATAAAGGACCCCCTTGAAAAAGAGATAGTTTATCTCAATGGGGCTATCCTTAAATAAATAAATAAAAAAAATAAAAAATATACATGCGTTTCCAGCGGGGAGGAGTGAAAGTTTGACTGGCCCAGTTTCAGGTTGGGCTCGCTCCTCTGTGGGCTCTGTCAGCGTCAGACAGGCACCACCAGTTTGTTTTATTTAAACTCATCCATCTTTCTCCCAGCTCAAAGAAAAGTGTGACACCATAGAGGCTGTTCGAGCTCAGGGCTGGAATGTAAAGAGATTTATCTTGGTCACATCCAACTCTATCATGGTACACATTTCAACCTGAGATGGTAAAACATTCAAAAGTTTGAACGCAGCAACGATAATTTGGTTTATACTGGAAGAAGCCGATTAGCGCTAACTCAATTCGGTTCCATGGGCAGAAATCTGTAGCCAAATTCTCAGATAGCAACTACCCAGCAACCAAAGAGCCAATCAGGAGCAGCGCTTAAGAAATGAGAGGCATAAAAATCCTTTAATGAACAGGGATTTGGCAACGTGTTTCAGCCACATACGGCCTTCTTCAGGGCATTTGCTAAAGTTCGAAATGTTTTATTGTCAAGAGTGACTCAGATTTGTCTCCTTTCTTCATTATTTTCCAGTGTTTTCGCCACTGCTGGTCCTGACTAAGTTAGAGCTCTCAGTAGAAAAACAGTGGGAAAATGCACAAAAACGTATATACAGAGCACAGCGAAATCTCTACTGGCAAAAAGGATATTTACAACAAAAAAATACACAACTTCTGTAACAAGCCTCTTTTCTCTGACTCTTACTCTCACTCTTATAGTTAACGTCTCAGGAACTCACTCCCACAACCCATCAGAAACTCGCACTCACTACAGAACTATAAAATTACTTCTTAAAACCTTAATTTTGTTCTTCAAAGTTTATTATTATGTGTCTTGTAAAGCGTCTTTGAGTGTTCAAAAAAGCACTATATAAGTTTGACGTGCGGCTATTAAACTCAGCCGAGTTTAATAGCCGCACTCACAGAGATAGGTGGTGGCCTCGGGGACTGGGTACAGACCATAGACTGTATATATTAACGGACAGAGTCAGGCCTATCTCCGCCGTTCATAGGAGTTGGCCGTGAAAAGTGCTTTCATGGAGCAATCCAAAATGGCCGCGAGTGGTCCCGCCCACAAGAAAATTGTGAAAAAACGCATCTGCGCATGCGTCAGCCGGCGCAGCTCCATTCATTTGAACGAGATACTTCAAAAATTCCCCGCGAGTAAACTAGAGTGGACCAAAAAAATCCACCCCCCTCAGCATTGACACACATGTGGAACGGAGCTTTGGGCCAAGAGCCAACTTTTGGTCCACCCTGTAAAGACGTTTTTGAGAGGTCTGTTAACGCTATATGTTAGCATTGGCTAATTCTTCTTCTGGGTCCACCCCCAACGGCCCGGGGTGGTATTGCAAGCATGTCAGTGCACGTCATTTTGGCCACTTTTGAGCTGGGATCCGCCCCCACTGGTACAGACCATGGATCTATTATAATAACTGGATAGGGTATTACTAGCTTGGAGCTGAAGAACTCACATGCTCGGGGGATTCTCGCGGTACAGCAGACTAAATTCACGTGGGCTACCCAGAAATTTTCCCCATAGAACTCAATGTAAACTAAAACAGCTCAACCTCAGCTGACAGAGAACCTACAACTTTCATAAAGGTCGGATTTTGTGGGGATTTTAGTGTCCCTTGTCATCCTGAACTTTTTTTCTTCTTAAATCCTTCGGTTTTCTTTAAATCTACACTTTAGTACCACAAACTTCCCGTCTGGCTCCCGCTCTAATCAGCGCGTCCGAGCCCCTCTGTGCGAGTGTATGACAGCCATGCGCGTATTTGGCGCAACGCATTATGGGAGTTCATCCTCTGCGCAGAACCGGGAGGACCAGACGAGGCCCAAATACAGGCGAGTTTCCCATGGATCTTTGCGAGTTCCAGGCGAGTTCCGCTAATATGTCAGCGACCGGGCCAGCACAAAGCGCCACTGAGCACAAGCCATGCATTTGAATACGGCGCCATCTTGGATCGCCGGGGCTTGGTACAGACGCTCTCAGTCCTCGGAGTGCATGTGAGTATGTGCTGTAAATGTGTTAGAGAAAACAGTAATATGGTAGCAGTGTTTGTGGTGAGAGGAGCTCCAGGGGGTTGGAATCCTGTCGCAGTTTTAGAAGCACATAAGACTTGCTCAAACATCCACAAACGTATCAACTCAAACAACTTAGAGAGCGTCAATTCTTTCCTTTTCAACCCAATGCTAACAAACACACAGTGACAAAGACTTCAAACAAGGGTCTCCAACAAATCCCCATCCAGTGACAGCGCCGTTTTATCTCATTTCTCCCAGATCATTTGTTGTCCTGCAGCTTTTAGGGGGCCAGAATAATGTTTTCACTTTCATACAA